AAGGACTTCTATGTATCTATTCATAAATTAGACTGCTTCGCACAATTTACAATAGCTAAGATCTGGAAACAGCCCAAGTGCCCATCAGTAGATGAGTGGATTAAAAAACTGTGGTATATTTATACCATGGAATACTATGCAGCAGTAAAAAAGAAGAATCTCTTACCCTTTGAGACAGCATGGAGGGACCTGGAGAGTATCATGCTAAGTGTAATAAGTCAGTCAGAGAAAGACAAGTATCACATGATCACACTCATGTGTAGAATCTAAGAAACAAAAAATAAACTGACGAACAAAGTGGATCCAGAGACATGGAACAGAGTGTGCAATCTCAGAGAGTAGGCAGGGGAGGATGGGTGGATGGGAGGTAATCAATCAAAGACCTTGAATGCACATATGCTAACCCAAGGACACAGACAATAGGGTGCTGAAGGCCTGGGGCAGGGGGCAGGGGCAGGCTGTATAGGGTCAATGGGTGAAAAAGGGGACATATGCAATACTTTCAACAATAAACAATTATTTAAAACAAAACAAAACAAAAAACAAAAGCAGAAGTCAGAGTGATGCTGGACCATGAGCCAAGGAAAGTGAGCCACCTTGGGAAGCTGGAGAAAGCAAGGAAATAAATTCCATGCCTACAGTCTTTAAAAGGATCTCAGCACAGATGATCCACTTTGGACCTCTGATCTTCAAACTTATAAAATAATAAACTTGTGTTGTTAAATAAATAAACAAATAAATAAAACTGCTTCAATATTCCTTTCTTACACTGTTCTTGTCTAGTTTTGACATCAAGGTAACACTAGTCGCTCTCTCTTTTTCGATTTTCTGAAGGAGTTTGAAAAAGATTAGAACTATCTATTTTATGAATGATTGATAGAATTCTCTCATAAAAATTTCTAGACCTTGTGGAAATATTTCTGTAATAGCTGTAAGGCTATTCAGGTTTTCTACTTCATCTTTAATCAGCTTTGATGTTATAGTATTCTAAAAATTTGTCCACTTTGTCTCAGGTTTAAAATTTATTGGCATAAAATTTACTATAATATTCCCGTTATCTTTTTAATCTCTGCTGTAGCTGCAGTTATCTCCATTATCACTCCTACATTTTTTTTTCTTAATTAGAAAGGTAGTTTGTCTATTGTAAGTAGGCTTTTCAAAGAACCAACTTTGGGGCTATTCTTTGTTTTCTTTCTCATTCATTTTCATTCTTATATATTTTTATTATTCAATTTTTTTGACTTGTTCTTTCTTCCTATTGTCTTTGAACTTCTCCCGTTGTACTTTTATGATTATTTAAGCTGGGTGCAAAACTAATCAATTTTTCAGTCTTTTATTTCCTCTCTAATATAAACGCCTAAGTTATTTAAGAGGAGATTTTCCTCCCTGAGAACACTTGGTTTAAGCAACCTGCTCCCCTACCAAGAGGAGTGGGGTCTAAGCCAACTCCTGACCCCCTCAACCCTCCTTACCATGACCCTTCTCAGGGAGAGAAGCCAGGAGAGAGGGAGACAATTTGAAAGACTTAGCATTTTTCTAGAGAGTGTGAGTGTCATTTCATTGAAGGGATTGTCTAAATGACTGAACTAAAATATACCGTAAATTGAATTGACCATTTAGGTTACTCCTATCCCCATTAATCAGTTGGCGGGGCTTGTTAAACACAAACTTAGAGAAATAAATAAATCTAATTTCAATGTAAGTTAAATTTGATGACTTTGCTCTAATAATTATAAGTAATTGTTATGACTCTAGTATTCCAAGCTTTTTAATCAAGGACAACAAATACAGTTATTTACTAGTTTTTTATAATGGATTTTCCAAGCATACATTCTGGGATCCCTTTCACCTTATTAGCAGCACATAACCTGAAGAAAAGATAAAGGCAAATGTTTTAAAAACTGCCTCCTGAGGAACTTCATGTTCCAGCATTTATTCAGTAACTATTTCTGAGAGCCCAAATACTTTAGTTCCCGTTGCTCTGCCAGGTGCTGGGAATACAAATGGCCAAGACAGGACACAGAGGTTGCCGTCACACATTTACAGACTCATGGGGAACAGAGACAAAGTCATAGGCAGCTCTCAGGAATGATGACAAATGCATCACAAATAGTGTGGCGTGCAATAGGAGCACTCGGTTCAGGGGTCCTGGCCTATCACTGAGGCTCAGAAAAGGCTTTTCTTGAGGAAGGGACATCAAGCAGAAGTGAGGCAGGAGAAGTGAAAGGAGGAAGGAGTCTCAGGAAGAGGTCAGCCCATTCAAAGGCTTGGAGGCTGGTGAGGCCACGACGCATGAGGGCCTGGTAGAAATTCAGATTGGCTGTGTGATGGACTTTTCTAGTAAGAAAAGTCTAGAAAGGCAAGCAGTTACCATCATGTGTGTCTCATAAACCACCAGAAGGAAGGTGCCTGGATTTACCCTGAGAACAAGAAAACACGGAGGGGCCTAAAAGTGGTGCCTAGTGAGGTTCATGTTTCCCCTGACTCTATAACACACTACAAATGTGTTTCTTGCAAGAACACTGAAGTCTTGTGTGAATTTACTGCTGTCTGAAAGCTTTATTTTGTTTTTTCTTTTGGGGATCTCAAATAGGGAAGTAATCTATATGAATTCTGAGGCAAAGAACATGTTTTTTAATACCTTACATTTTTCCAAGGGGAACTCAAGCACCTTGGGATGACTCAAATAATATATCCAATAAATAAAACTGCACTCAGCAAACACTAATGAAGGGTATAAGAACAAACCTCTGATCAGGGAAGGCAGCATTTTAGAAAAGCAAGCTGAACGGGTCCTGCTCCAGCAAAGCACCAAGACAGGCTGCCTTCTGGCCTCGCTCAGCAGAAAACCAACCCTGCACGTGTGGTCCCCATCTGCCCTCTGCATAAAAGTCCATTCTTCAGAAACAAGCAGGATTTAGTCCCTTCCACTACGATCAGCGTGCTAGTAACACAGATTTTATATATATAAATATATATTAATTAGCAAAGGCTTCCTAAATATTAATGGTACTATAAAAATCTTTACTTTATAAATAGCCTTTAAAATATAGCCAAATAGGAAGCCTTGATGTTTCTCAGGCATTTCAAATTTACTATCTAGAACCAAACCCATTACCCTATCTAGAATGAAAAATAATAACAAAGGTAAGAGGTGGTGGAGAGAGCATTCTATATTAAAGAGAGAGAGATAGGAAAAAAAAAAAACACTCATGGACACGGACAACAGTGTGGTGATTATGGGGGGTTGGGTGCAGGTAGGTATAGGAGGGATAGTTATGGAATAAAAAAGAAATATATATATATATATACACCAAATGCAATACATGAACCTGATTGAAACCTGGGTGGGGCAGGGTAGTTTTAAGACACAATTTGGGGATAACTGGGAAAATTTTATTTTTGGACTGAATATTGAATATTATGGAATTAGTGTTAATTTCCCCAGGTGGGATACTTGGGGTTATTGTGGAAATGTCAGGGAATATTCTTACTTTTAGGAGATACACATGTTTGTTTAAGGGTACAGTGCTGTGCTATCTGCAACTTACTTTCTAATGTTGAACAACAGAGTGGGGAGCAAATGTGGCAAAATGTTAACAAGTGGTGAGTCTGGGTAAAGGGTGTACATGTATTCATTATACTAATATTTCTACTTTTATGTAGACTTGAACTTTTTCAAAAAGAAAGAAAAACAAGCAAATGAAAACAGCACACAGAGCTATTTCAGGTAGAGAAACACTAAGCCAGTGGGCCTCACGAAAGCTGCTGAACAGGTAAAAGAAAGAGATGAGATCAAATGTGGGTCGGTGTAAGGTGACAGTTTTACTCATAGAATGAGGGCTCGGAGATGTACTTCTGAGGGAAAGGCATTTCATGCCCTTCCCAGACCTGGATGGTGACATCCCCCGCACCTCACAGAGCAAGGCTCAGGGGCTTCCAGCAGCCAGGAGTTATGCACAGAGAATGGCACCACGCACTGGTCTAAAATCTTCAGTGCTGACCAGCAGTCACTGCTGCTTCGTCTTCCTACACGAGTCCCTCACTGTCCTGGAACTTCCTCTCTCGCACCCCACTGCCACCTTCCTAACCTCATTCGTTCCCTCGGCCTCTGCTGTCACCCGCATGCTGAGGAACTTGCCAAGGATTCCGGCCTCCTTAGCGCTGTGTCCCAGGAGGCACTCTACAGCCTCACATCACTCCTGAACTTGCCACCTCACCTCCCTGAATCCTGCTCCTTCTCCCTGTTCTCTGTGAATTCCCAACATCCTCCATTACGGGTTCTTTAGAGGACTTTACGGAAGTCTCTCTGCCTTTCCTCAGTAGTATTACTACTTCCATCAGCCCAACAGGAGAAGCTAAGGGCCGAGTGAATAACTCCACACCAATAACAAAATGTCTGGCTTTCTAAAATCCACCAAGTCTCTACACAAAGGGTAGAGTAGGAGCTGGAGTGTTGGCCAACTCCACCACTTGTCCTCTTTGTGGATATTGCTCTATGGTGGCCAGGGCACACCTTTCAGATGACTGGCAGCCCGCCCACCATCTTGCCCAGTCCTTCTCTGGAAGCAAAGATTAGAAAACTTTTCCTTATACTGAGCTCAAACTTGTTCCTCATGACTTCTGCCTGTTGGTCTTTTTTCAAGCATCAGTCAAATGAAATTCCTCTTCCCCTGACGGCTGCAGGTGAGAGTACCAGGATGCCCTGCTCCGTCCCTTCCATACAGGAGGCCTCATGGCTGCGGCCCCGGACAGCTAGGGACCCAGTGAGCTTGAGGAACTTCAGCTCTCACGGGCTGTGGTCCAAACAAGCTCAGTCCACCCAGTGGAAACATCACATTGGGAAGCATAAACCCAGCACGACATTGGGTCGGTGCAGCTGGGAGAGCTCTGGCTGGGTAAGCACTTTCTGTTAATGGCTTTTACTTAATGAAAATAAAAAGAAAGTGCAATAAACTATGAAGGGTGGCTCAGGATATAAAATAAATATAAACGCTTACCTCCCCTTGGAAGCTCTTCAGCAGTGGCGCTACCTGCTTGCGTAAATCCTGGAGCAAGAGGGATGGGTCAGGAAACAGCCATTTGAAAAGGAAAGAGAAGGGAAACATTCGTTAAGGCCCCCTAAAAACAGCTTTGAATTCAGTGATAGTCATCATTATATTAAGCAATCCTTGTCCCTCTCCTGCTTCGTGCCTTGATTCATACAACATAATGCCAACTGGTGCCCATGAACTTAAGAATACCATTAAGTTTGTTTCTACTAAATCCTGGTTAAATACACCTCATTTCAAATGTGCAGTGGGGCCAAGGCATTTGAAACCACTTTGGAGAACGGAAGAGAAGGGACAGTATGAGTGGGGGATGCCTGGGTGCAGGTATAAGACCCAGGTGCTCTGGAGTTTAGCCCACAAAACAGTGCCTCTTATCTTACTAGGCTCATCCCTGCCAACTGGCAAAGGAACAGCCACCCGAGAACAGCAGCTTGAAGAAGTATAGGAGATGACAAAAGTACTTTCGATTATAGCATCTAGGAAGGCAGAAGAACCACACCTCTCATAATGATCGTAAATAAACTCTCCTCTGCTGTTCCTGCTATAACCAATCCACTATATAGTTTACAAGTCATTTCTTTGGGCATTTTCATGTCTCATGACAGACCTGCTAAAATAACTCTTTAAAACAAGATGTGTGTCTGTATGCACACACACATATATGTGAAGACAGTTGAAGAGAAATATTCACACACACACATACGCAAACTGCTATGTATGTATTTCAAGTCACCAACTAAAAAATTACCCATCCCAAATTTATTTTTGGCAGTTTGGGAAATTCCTTATCCGATTCTTCTATCTGCAAATATTACATGGTTTAGTACTAAACTAAAGAGCTAGAACCTAGGACACTTCTGACCCCTGGGCCACTCCACTGCCAGTCAGAGAGGACATGCACAATTCACTGCCCTTTAGAACGGAGTGGCCTTTACTGTCTGGGCAGCACCACGTCTGCGGGCGCTGCCACCCCGGCCACCATGTGCAACCTCAAACTGAAGAAAGCAGGGTCCAGGCCAATCAAAACCATATTGGCGCAAACTACAATTAGGGATATAACGCAAAATTACAAAACCTAATAACTTGGTTACACACTTAATTCAGTGACAGGTTTTCCAACACTATTTTAAATTTGCTTCATACTGTGCCACTTATTGAGCAAAAAGCAATAAATATCTTAACACATAGAAGCAATGTCTTTGAGATTATTAATATCAAGGTCTGTTGGTAAAGTCACAATAGTGCATTTCAACGTCCTCCCCCTTGAATGTAATGCAAATAATAAGCAATGTTTACAGAGATGCTTCTATGTGAAATGAATTTTCATTATTCTCCAAACCACTGATTCACAACTCACTTTACAGATCAAAAAACTGAAGAGAAAAATACTAGTGAGGAATTTTCTATGTAACGATGGTTGTGGGAGAAAACCATTCTGATTTAAAAGCGAAACAGTTTGCCTTGGCCAGGTACCTCAGTTGGTTAGATCCGTGGTCGGCAAACTGCGGCTCGCGCGCCACATTCGGCTCTTTGGCCCCTTGAGTGTTGCCTCTTCCAAAGCCTTAGGAGTACCCTAATTAAGTTAATAACAATGTACCTACCTATATAGTTTAAGTTTAAAAAATTTGGCTCTCAAAAAAATTTTCAATCGTTGTACTGTTGATATTTGGCTCTGTTGACTAATGAGTTTGCCGACCACTGGGTTAGATCATCATCCCGATACACCAAGGTTGTGGGTTTGATCTCCAGTCGGGACACAAACAAGAAGCAACCTATGAATGCATAAATAAGTGGAACAACAAACTGATGTCTGTCTCTCTCTCCCCCCCCCCCTTCTCCCTCTCTAAAATCAATCAATAAACAAATAATGGGGGGTGGGGGGGGGAGGCAAAACAGAAGAATACAAAATCACCATGCAATGCTCAGCTGCACCTGTGAGGCACAAGCAGGAAACGTCCCAAAATATATGTCCCTGGACTCATAGGGTATGAATCTTTGGCTTTCAGCCCATTGGGGCACTTGGGTGGTCTCTGGAAGGCTTGGTTCCCACTTTGGGGTGTGGTACTCACAATACCCCATGACACCTCTCCCACTCCACACTCGCACACAATGCCAGAGCCAGGCATCACAGAATCTCGTACCATGGATTCAGAGCTGGTGGCCACTGAGGTGTGGTAGTGTCTAGGAAAGAGTGGCACCCAGGACATGGCTGTTTAGGTTTGGAAGGACAAACAGATGCTGGGGAAAAAACCTTGGCATTACCCATAAACAAAAGGAGGCTATGGCCCTAGCTGTTTGACTCAGTGAATAAGCATCAGCCTGCAGACTGAAGGGTCCCAGGTTTGATTCTGGTCAAGGGAACACGTCCAGGTTGTGGGCTCGATCCCCAGTAGGGGGTGTGCAGGAGGCAGCCGATCAATGATTCTCTCACATCATTGATGTTTCTATCTCTCTCTCTCTCTCTCCCTTCCTCTGAAATAAAATTTAAAAAATATTTAAAAAACAAAAACAAAAGGAGGCTATGAATTACAAATGCATCTTGGAAGTTATAAAATGATCTCTATTTTTGAAATATTTTGTAATCCTGATTTTTCAGGATGTTTTACTTTTGCTTCACAGTAGCTCACATGCACTTCTATGGGATGACGCCTACAGTTAAGAACGTACAGCTGTCTGGCTGCAGCTCTTGGTGGTGCCTCACCCTCTGTCTTTGGGGACAACATGGCCTTTTCAAGGGGCAGGGTTTGGGCAGTGCAGGGGCTGGACTAGGTCACCTCTCAAAGGCTCCCTTCAGTGACTCTCACAGGGCTGCCAACACCCCTACCCCTAGTGTGGTCACAGGAAGCTTAGGGACCCAGCCCCATGGTATTGGTGGCAGTGGCTTCACCCCTTCAGCTTCTATTTTAGAACTGCCTCAGCCCAGGTACTCTCAGCTCTCCCCTTGTCTTAGTTCACATTTCCTTCATTGTGTCTGGGTGGTGAAAGGGTGCGGATGGGGTTTAACGCTTGATAGGGGCCAGGCAATGACAAAAGACTGGCTTGCACTGAAAACCCTAGGAAATGTTTACAGACGAGGAGGTTCAGTGTTAAAAAAAATGATCTCCAAATGAACTTACTAACCCCTGGTTGTCCCCTCATTACTCAGGTCTCAAAGCAAGAAAATTGTAACTTGAAAATGTTTTAGGTTATATATTCAAAGAAAGCCATTTTGTAATACAACATTTTCATTAAATTTGATATTGTCAAATGTGAGATGTGCCATTATCTTATGCTACATTCGAAAACAAATGCCACTTATTAAGCTGTGATATCGATTTTAAGATTCATACTGAAGATGGTAGTATGTGTAAAACTGTATGTGTTATAATCGATAATGGCACACCACAAAATTAATTAAAGTTAAAAGAATAGGGCCAAGGTTGTTTTTATCTTTAAGCTGCAGTGACAGCTGATTTTAAAAAGGGTCCTTGTCTTTTAGAGATATGTACTAAAATATTTATGGATCAAATATGATTTTTGCTTCAAAATAACGTAATGTGGAGGGGTAATAGGTAAAAATAAGGACAAAATAAGTGTGTCAATGGGTTGATGTTTGTTACAGATGGATAATGGGACAGGGGTTCATTGTACTCACCCTATCTTGTGTGTGTTTGAAATAGAAAATGTTTTTAAGACACTATATTTCACTGAGATACACAAAGCCTTCAGCTGACGGGTCACGCAGAACAGGCAAAGAAAGAATTATGAGACTGGGATGAGGGACTCTCTCTCTCTTAAATTACAACTTACCAACTAGTTAACTGTCATCTTCATCAAGTTAACCTGGAAATCTAGGGTCATCTGGTCCAATCGACTGCACAAGGTAGGAGACCTCACTGTGGTGTCCTGGTCACATGGCTTGCCTTCCCAAGGCCTGACATAGAAGGCAGCTCATCTCGGATCGGGAGTTTTCAAACACTGGGCTACCAGTGCTACCAGCAAATGCGGATATTTGGAGGAAAGCTATCCTGACACAGGCTCAAGTGATGTTATTCTTCATTGGTAAATATTTTACTTTAAAAAAGTGGGAGAGAAAAAAAAAGTGGGAGCAGATTGGAAGTGATTCCACTCTCACTCTCTTTTCTTGAGTGGGAGATTGACAAAGCAGTGACCTGGATCTGCCCACGGGAGCGGAGAATGGCTGAACCTCCACTCTCCTGGGCCCAGGCCTGCTTTCTGACGATGCCTGGCAGGTGGAGTTCAGCTCTCCCTTCAGCCCTTCTTAAGTATCTGAGAACCCTGCTCATCTCTCCATGCACCTTCCTCTCCACCTGTCTTCTCTCTGGACCAAACACCACTCCACCCATTCCAGTGACATCCTAGGCAAAGCCCTCCTGCCCGGGCTCCTTGCTCCTTGGGCTACTCCAAGTCCCGCTCACACTCTAGACACAGAATCTGTTAGTTGTTCTAAGTCCTTGTCAGTGTCTCTAATGCCAAGATTCTATTCTCAAGATCTGCACTGTGCATTCGTATTGGAACAAAGTTCTAGAAAAGAAAGGCATGGGATTCTAATAAGAGCCATTGAAAATATCCACTACCTCTACCCAGCTATCTGAGCTGCCCCAAATAAAGAATTCTAAAGATCTTTAAAAATACAAACTACAACCCTGGCTGGTGTGGCTCTATGGTTAGAGCATTGTCAGGCAACTGAAGGGTCATGGGTTCAATTCCCATTCAAGAGCGTATACCTGGGTTCAGGTTTGCTCCCCGCCCTCAGTGGGTTGGAATGTGTACAGGAGGCAACCAGTTGATGTGTCTCTCATTGAATTTTCTCTCCCCCCCCCCTCCTCTCTCTCTCTAAAAAGCAATGGAAAAAATATCCTCAGGTGAGGATATTTAAAAAAACAAACAAAATACAAATACTCAGATTCCAGATTATATTGATGCTAGATAGGGACAATCTGAAAGGAATAATTTCTTTTTAAAGATTCTATATAGAGGAATAATTTCTTTTTAAA